GGTCGTATCTCGAAAAATTCGTAAGTAGGGGCGTTCGTAAGTAGAGGTACCACTGTATATGATTTATGATATAGTATATGATTATAATATTTGTTTGCCCTAAAGCACTCTACCATATAAACTAGCTAACAAGCTCTGAAAAAATACTTTTCTCAGATCTTGCTCTCTAGCTTTATGGTGTTTGTTGGTTTTATGAATCACTGCCTCTGGCTATTCCTTATTCAGAGTAGTCATTTGATCACATTGAATTCCAACCAATTAGAACATCAGCTCAATTTTATATGAGTTTTTATCTATGGTAAAGGCTAGCATAAACAATCAAATACTTACTGGTGCTGGACTACTTTTAGCAGTTCAGTGGTTTTTCTTCTGAGTTTAAAATAGTTCCAGTTGGATTTTGGGCATCATTCTATCCTGATGCATGGAAGAAAAGGTTAAAAATGTGGTGCCTTGATTAAGTTAGCTGGGGAACAGAAGCAAGAGTATACTGTTGTACTATCCTGCTTTAGCCTTGCCATAGATATTTAGGTCATCATAATAGGAGCAGATGCTGGACTAAGTAGCCCTTTGGTCCTGTATAGCTGTTCTTACATTCTTAATAGGGCTGGATCATAAAAGAAACACCTAATTTTCTGAAAGTGCTGCCTGAAGAGGGTTTTCTGAAGCTTATGTACAAATGAATGTGCACATACAGTACATTACTTTCTTCAGCATTATGTTTTTTGATAGCTGTGTGCAGGTGCATTTGGTGTCATTCAGAGGTAACAGAATATCAGCCCCATAGCTGAAAGCAGTACTACTTCCTTAAGTACTAGTAGCATTCAAGTAGTAAAGTCCAAAAGAAGGTCTGCACAAAAAGCCCAGACCAACTTACCATAAATCATGATATGTCTTTGGGGTTGATACCAGAGTAAATACCGTCTGTTCTCCCTAACATTTGCAGCCTTTTCTTGAGAGAACATAAAAGTGGCAGTTTACAAATTGTTCATATCTTTAACGAATTCTGAACAATAAGAAAAGGGTCTTCTAAATACCAGGACAAAATCATTGCTATGAATGAATGTGGAATTTGTTCCATGAGTTGATCTCTGAGTTAACTTAATATGATAAAAAAGCTTCTGTCTTTATATTAAAATTGTCTAATATCTCTCATGTCATAGACGCACTGTCCTGTTCTTGAATCTCTTCTGTAGAAAAATCCCAAATGCATTATAATTTTCTCTAGTGATTATTTATGAACTCATGCAATTTGGCAAATATACACCTTCTCTGCTTGCCTCCCATGCCTTCTCTCATTCTGCATTTGTGGGCTGGTAGATGAATCTGATCTTGTAAATAACTTAGAATGCAGTCTAAAACGCCAAGTGGAGCCAAAAGCTTCTTGAGCATTTATGAAGTACAGGACTTTTGGCTTTTGAAGGTGTAACTTAGCCATGGCACCAGAGCTTGTTTATCATGCTGTCATAAGAGCTAGAATCTTTCATTTGTACTATTTTGCTAAGGGCTATAACATTGTATTGTAGATCAACAGGAAATGGAACATAAGTATGCACTTAAAGTGCGAGTTTTTTTAAACCTACAGCTATTAAAATTAAAATTATGGAAATTTTAAGGTGTTCAGTGTTCACAATGGTTTTTAAAGGTTGATGTTATATGCAGAAAGGGGATTTGCTTAAAAATTCTTAAATTTTTAGATTATAAAAGAAGATTTTATTTTGTATGTAGCATTTTTTAAAATAAAACATAAAACACAGCAAAAAAAGGTTAAAAACAGAATGTTGCTTGGATAGTCTATAGTTAAAATATTCTGTAGTTAAAAATGCAGGGTGATGTTAACTTTCTAACATATACTTTACCTTTTATTATGAAACATGTTGTTACTATGATTTTACAAACATCTGTAATTTGCTTTTTGTGTTTTAAACAAACCTGCTACTTGCATTGTTTTACTAGTTCAGGGAGATCTTTTAATAAGGTCTGCCTGAGAAACGGTCTTACAGTAAAACTGTAATGTTAGCATCTCTCTGCTTCTTCACCTCTGCAGAAGAGCCATAGAACAGACTCAAATTCCACTCGGGCCTCTTAGCAGAAGTAAATTTGGAGAGAGAGAATTATTTTCTTGCTGTTCAGAATGCAAAACCTTTCGGCATCCTGATCCCTGCTGCCCCTTTTGATGTGCCAGCTCCTGTAGCTAGAGAGGAATTAAGTTGTCCAGTTAGTGTCTTTTGCCAGCCTGAAATTAAAAATGCCTGTTCCAATAGCATTTGCCAAACTAAGGATGACAACAACTCCTACTTACCAACTGCTCCCCTATATATAAAACTGCTGTTTATATTTTAGTTGATTTCCTCTGGACTTTGGAGACCAAATGTTCTGCTTCTTCCTGCAACATTGGCATCAAACAAGCTAAAAGCCTCCTTATCTTTGCCGTTGAAAAGTTGGTGGGATGAGGAGGAGGAGGAGGAGGAGGAGGAGGAGGAGGAGGAGGAGGAGGAG